AATGCTTCATACTCTTTATTTGATTGTAGATAAAAAAAAAATTACAATTTATTAAAATTGGTTCATAATTTTGACCAAATTGTTAACATTGCAGCTTTCATATTAATATTTGTCAAAGGGATATGAAAAAAAGCTTTTCTCTTGGTAGAAATTATTTCCCAATATATTGCAATGATATTGCAATATGTTTTTGAAATATTGCAATATATCGCAATACACTTTTTTGTCCAATTCCCAACCCTAATGCACGCACACGTGTCACTATATATATGCTATAATTTTAAACACATATTCACCTCACCTTACCTCACAAAGCTTTGAAGATCCAACTCCCCTACTTAAACATAGACTACCGTCATATAGCTGGAATATTGCTGAGTGCGGCGTTAAACAACAAACCAACATAGACTTGCTACAGTCATAGTGCTACGATCCCTTCATCAATAGTGTGGACATGTGTGTTATGTCTTTGCTTTTTTAGATGTTTTTTACTTTTGAAGTGGCTTTATTATATTTACTGTCCAGAGATTTATCTGGCCATTCTTAGAGGACAATCTTTGGCCTCTAGTCTATGCCAGATGTCTGAGAATTCCCAAATTTGAATTGCAAATTTTTCTATTCAGATATTTGTAATGGTTTATCTTTGTAAAAGTGGCTTATATTTCACTGATAACATGATAACCAGTAGAGAGGAAAGGGCTGTAATGCTCACTGTTGTGTTGTTGCAGTGAGTGTAATGTTAACATATCTCTGAACTTTAGAAAATAAAATAAAAATACTTTTCAAACTATTCAAATTTGGGACAAAATGAAGCTTTTTCCCAGTTTGCTTGCCATGGACACTTAGTCTGAAAAGTTAGATAAACCCTGGCTGTTAAAGACATATTATGAGAAACTGCTTTCATTGATAGATGATAGAAAATATATCCCAATTTACATGATTTACCAATTTATGAAAATAGTTCAGAATTATCTTCAAACATGGAAACAGTTTTAGGACTTGATCTAACAGAATTCTGTCCTCAGTTCATGTATGAATAAATTTTATTTTTTCTCCCTGAATTGACATGTGTACTGACATCCAAGGTTTAGATATCGACATGAATTATGTGCAGTCAGTATCTGGTTGTTATTAATGTAATATGATATGGGGGCAGATGTGCATCATTGATATTGTCAGGCACTGAGGTAATGCCAAGTACCATCTCCATTGTTTGTAGTGTACACTTTGTGCACTGGGAAACAAGGAGAATATATTAAATGCATTACATTACCAGATTCACTAGAAGTGTTAAACTGCAGCATGGTATCTCAGTGGGCTATGAGGTTTTGTTTTGTTTGTTTGTTGTTTAACACCGCACTCAGCAATATTCCAACTATATGACAGCGGTATGTAAATAATCGAGTCTGAACCAGACAATCCAGTGATTGACACAATGAGCATCGATCTACGTAATTGGAATTTGATGACATGAATCAACCAAGTCAGCGAGGCTGACCACCCGATCCCTTTATTGGCTTCTTATGACTAGCAAAGTCGCCTTTTACAGCAAGAATGGGTTGATCTAATCAACCCTTGGGGCTATGGGAATTCATGTTAAACTGCAGCTTGGTATCTCAGTGGGCTTCCAATTAAAAAAACCCGGCATTAGTAAGGACAAGTATACGTGAACATGCATGCACACATACACCATTTCCCGCACCATTACGCCATCTAACAATTGCACCATTTCACCTCACGCCACTGACCATCCAACATTTACCATTGAGTAAACTGAACTTGATTATTATGTTTTAGAAGTCAGAACATTTGCTGCTGTTCTGCCATTGTGATAATACATTGTGAACTTGATGTCCTGTATATAGTTTGGCATGAAGCATCCAGCAGACACCACTCTTTCTTATGTGGCTGGAGCCTTCGGGTTCAATTGATGTCAATAATTGAGACTATATCCTGAGATGCTGATGGCTGCAGAATCTTAGCCACACGACCATTAGACACCCCTGTCTGACTAGTGAGAAGAAAATTAATCTGTCACTTACTGGGACAAATCTATACTTAGGAATAGAGGGCTACTATATATGTGGCATACGTTGTGTAGATAGACCATGATGGTCCTGTATGACTGGACTAAAGGCTTGGTGGGGAAAGGAAGAGGAAGTGTGTGCAGGACTGCCACCTGTGTTCCTGGTCGCCATTATCAGGATAACACCTATAAAGTCTACTCCCTTCCAGGTCGGCCTCATCATGCATTAATGATGAACGCAGCCATCATGCTATTTTTGTTAGATTAAATAAACACTGTTACTTACTTGAGTTGCTGTCAGTAATATGGTTTATGTTGTGATTACACATCAAGTCAGGCTGGAATTACCAAAGAAATTGTAAGTTGTTCTCAGACTTTGTATGTTGTGACTTTCAGTTTGCAGGGTGTATTTGTTTTACAGAAATTTGATGTTCGGTTTATCTCAGAAACTTTTCCTGAGATGCTAGCTGCAATTGATAGTCAAACTCTTACGGTTTTTAAACTTTATTGCTGTAAATGCTGTTATTTATGGAGCTGAGCTATTTTTAAAAAACCCCTGCTGATTTGAATTCATTAGAGTCCTAAAACAACTTAAAATAGTTTCAACTGGTAGTTTTGATTCTTTTGAATGCCAGGCAAATTCTGGGTCGGAGTAGGCCCCAAGCATTCAAAGTCTTAAGAGCTGACTGACAATACAATTGGGTCAGCTGTTATTGTGTGTTCATCGTACCCGCACACCATGAGTATTTGTTCATGCATTCAGCTACTTGTTGACCTGGTTTGGACACGTATATTTACTGGTTTCTGTGATACGCCTGGAATATTGCTGGTTGTGACTTAAAACAATACTCATTCAGCCACAGTAGTTTGGTGGAGTTTCTTGTATCATCAGATCAAACAAACAATATTCATGAAGCTTTTGACCTGACAATGCAATTCTTTCCTCTCAGGCATGTTCTACAGCTACATAACTTTAGCTTTAGAACAGGCAAGATCTATTTTGAACAGATTAATGTATAATGAGAGAACAGTTACAGATTTTGCCTTATGTATGAGCTAGGAATGCTTTTTACTGGGAATGATATATGGAAAATATGCTTTTATGATAGGAATTACAGATATTTATGTTGTCATCTTGATAAAAGGCATGATCTAGTTCCAATCCAGGAACAATTATAGGCATTTGTATGCATGACTTTAAGGGCTAAAATCCCTTTCCAGATGAACAGTGCTACTGGGTGACAAGAAAAGCCTGCTGATAATATAATTTCTTTAATTCTACCTCAATGTCCTCCTCTTACTGGATCTCTGGTATGAGAGTGGCAGGTTCCTGCTTTGGGAGTCCGTAGACAGATTTAATCACAATTTTTTGGGTATCTTGGGAAGGAATCAAAACGGGCATTGGCTATGGCATTCTATTAATCTTGAGTATCAGAGGCAGTTCAGTGATCTCAGGGGTGATCGAAGCAGTACAGTTCTTGCGGTGGAAAACAGCTAATAGGTCTGTAAAGAAGGACGGGGACATGAAGATTAGGGTTGTAATGAATATTTAACCGTTTCTCAAGATGTGCTTATTTTATTTGATAACGTGATATATTATCGATTATGAATTGAAGTTTAAGTCAATCTTAATGGGACAGTAATTGTTTAAAAATATGTGTACTGGAGTCTTGATAGAAGGTGAATGGAGTCGAAGGTGAACATAAGTGTTTTCATTTTGTCCAAAAATAATTTTTTTGAACAATATTCATTATCTTGTGTTTATATATTTTTTAACTGTTGAAAAGTAGGATCCCAAGTTTATTTGATTTATTGTATACTTATATCTGTTGATCTTAAAATGTTGGGAAAAAACAGACTGCTTTGTAATATTCTCATATCGTAGTGAGTTTCTGAATAGAAATCAATAATATTTTACCGCCTAGAATCCCAGGATATTTCAACCTGAAATTAAATCCAAAGTGGATGTCATTGTGTCTTTTTATTTGAGAGATATTGATTTTTGTATCCTTCATTGCTGATGAAAGGGTTTATGGGTTCTGGTGTAACATGCTCGGGCTTCTGTTACACCAGATCAGGATTTGTTGAATTATGCAAAGCCTTATGGAGTGATAAATGATAGTGACAACATAATTGTAAAAGCTTTGCCTTTGGATATACAAACATGATAACGTTTGGCTGCAAAGGAAACTTTTAACACGTTGTTGTACCATGATGCAAACATTTTACTGGATCTTAGCACCTCATCTTGACAGTGCTTGTGTAGCAGGGTGTGGAGCCATCCCACAGATGACATCAGTTCCTTGTCAGCTTGCTGGCAGGGTTAACCTCTTTGGTCATGTGGACAAGGTGTCCGACCTCAAATCAGAAGGACTGTGGTTCGAATCCCTTCACTACATTGGGGCTGAGCATGTTCATATTAAATTTCAGCAAAATAAGTCTCAGTACCCTACTATGCGGCCCGGGACGTGTCATCTGTTAAGGGGGGAGTAAGTAGCAGGGGGTGGAGCCATCCCACAGATGACATCCTTACCTTGTCAGCTTGCTGGCGGGGTTAACCTCTTTGGTCCTGTGGACAAGGCGTCTGACCTCGGATCAGAAGGTCCGTGGTTCAAATCCCATCACAGGACTCGAAAATTTTATGGCTGCTACACTTGATAAGTTTGATATCTATTTCTTATTCTCTTGGGAACAAGTGTGCATGAATGGCTCAGTTTTCTAAGACACTGCAATTCACTGGTCAGAGCTTTGTCCCCTAAGTGCCAGAATGTTGTATCTGTTGGCCTTGGATTTGTGAATTAAGTCTTTTGTCAAAGGGCTAAAGGGTGGTTGGTTAGGCCAGACTTTTCAGCATGTGCTTTTCAGCAGACTCGAATCCCCATATTGGTATAATATATGATACAATTGGATGCCTTGGCCATTGTTATAACTCTAAACAATGAGACGACACTGATTGATGATCTTGTTTTTTCAGATGTAACTGTCAAGTACTCTGACGGCCTTCCAGTCCTCTCAGTGCCTTTACCGTCTCGTCGGGAGACCTGTGAATTCACCCTCAAACCCATCACCCACACAGTGGGGGATTTCCTGCGCTTCCTCCGAGAAGAGGATGGAGGCATTGACAGAGCCTCAGTATACACACAAGGTCAGTCACTTGCAATGCTGGAGCACGTTTTTGATCAGGGCTGATATACCTAAGCCTTGACATATTGCATCGAACATCGAAACCATGACGTAGTGATCAAACATTGAATCCATGACAATACATCAAACACTGTAACCTTGATATAATACATCAAACACTGAATCCATGACATATAAATCAAACACTGAAGCCATGACATAATTCCTAGCAAAGATGACCCATACCTCACAAAAATAGCCCAATTGTAGCAAAGATAGCCCATTCCTAACAAAGATGACCCATTCCTAACAAAGATGACCCATTCCTCACAAAACAATGCAAGAAAGTCAGGAACAATGACATGATATGTATCACAATAATTTGTTCCTATTATAAATGAAATGTATGTATTGCTACAGAGTGAAGCTGTGTGTTAATCCACATGGACTGAAGCGTCTTGCTTATTGTATTGCTCAGTTGATAACTAAGGTGCAGTGCTGGATGAGAGTCTCCAGGCTCATGGTGTGGGTGGAGATAGTGATCAGCAGCCGACATGTCTGCCAGTAATAATGATGTATCCTCGCTGTAACTCAACATCCATTCAGTGTTTGTAGAGGGGAGGTTGTACATTTTTCCGATTAATTTGGTTTTGCCATGGAAACAAGCGGAACTTAGGATTAATCGAAGACTGAGTCTAGCGAGTATGTTATCGCCATAACTGTTATGTGCCTTACAATATACAGTCTATGAAGGTAAGAGGAGTATCAAATATAGGAGCCTTGGATAGCTCCAACCATATAATGGAACTGTTTACTAGGATATTAAAACAGATATATACCAGGCAGTCTTATATCTGGATTATGTAAGATTGTCATCACTATCAAGTAGCTAAATTGTTTGAATGGAAGAGTGATCTCTATAATGTAATATGGAGAAAAAACACAGGTAATTTGCAACTTGTCCGAGGATGCAGAATCTGCAGCAAAGTCTGACACTAATCAAGTTTCGGTGCAGCAGAGGCTATGGTTCGGGATGTGTGTTAAATGTTCTGCTGAAATATTTGATTGAAATGATTGGATGTAGACAGGGATGAAAGGTGATGTTGAGCAGCAATGCCTTCTTGGTTTAAGTCGAGAGATGTTGAGATCAGAGGAAAGCTTGATGAAACAGCATCAGATATGCACTTGCTATGATGACAAACACTGAACTGGGCTCACTTGTGTAATTTGGATGATATATTACCAAGGTGACAGGCTGTCCAGGAGAGAAAACATTTTAAGACCTTGCCTTTTTAAGTCCTCTTTTCTTCACTAGATATTTGTCCCCATTCATCAACTACATAACACTGCTCAATAACTTAAATGAAGCTGTCAAACCAGGAAAAGAGGACGTCTCCGGAATCGAGGAATACCATGCAACACCGAATAAACCAATCCACCATTTTCACGCAACTTGTCTGCTTCACACTCCTGTGTAAGCTTCTCTTGTTGTCATGCTGTGGAATAAGCAAGGTGGTTGTCGGTATAAATTCTATTCACCTTTGAAAAAATTGCTGCCTGTCCATCACGGTATCTCCTGGAAAAGCACTTAACTGATAACTAGGTTTGACCCTTCGAGAAAAAGTGTCTTCTCAGTCACATTTTTTTAGTGCACTACAAAGGATTGGACACACAGGAGACTTGGATGTTAATCTTAAATTTTCAGCTATTGCTGGTTTTCTTTTTCTTCACTTGTTTAAATTACTTGTTCCTGTGGGAATGTTCCTGTACAGTTTGTTTAATAAGAAGGTTCTCCAGAGGACTGGATCCATTCTGTCCTGTTCTTTCCTCTTAATAAAAGAGGACAATGCTTTGTGAAAACTGTTAGTCTTGGCATGATTGGTTCAAGTTATTCAGTCCATCAACTCAAATTTCATATTCAAGTGATATCAATCTAATAATTAATGATTAAGCAAATTACAGGAGACGCTTATTACAATGAGACCAAGACTTGAAACAGGTTACAGACCGGGGAGTTTTGTTCTCCTTTAACCATTTCCATGATCATTGGAAATCTCTGCTAAAAACATATTCGATTGTAAGATTCCCTATGTTTATGAATCACTATCAGATAGTGATGACACCAGGTGTTCATGAAAAGGCGAACATATCATTTTGTATGTTTGTTTGTTTGTTTAACGCCGCACTCAGCAATATTCCAGCTATATGACAGCGGTCTGTAAATAATGGATTCTGGACCAGACAGTCCAATGATTGATATCATGAGCATCGATCCAAGCAATTGGGATACAATGTCATGCATCAAACAAGTTGGCGAGCCTGACCACCCGATCCCATTAGTCGCCTCTTACGACAAGCAAAGTCGCATTTTACAGCAAGCATGGGTTGCTGAAGACCTATTCTGCCCGGGCCCTTCACGGGTCAAACACATCCTGCCTACTGGTGGCACCGGTCATAAAAACATGCAAAGGCAATTCAGTTGATCACCTAAAGAAAACACAGTCCCAGAAGAGACATCTGCCTGTTCAGTTCTTTGGGTCAGGATGATACGATTTTGAAAAGTATCAAGTACGTTAATCCTTCTCCAGAAATATGCACAGTTCTGAAGGGATAATTACACTAGTCATTTGATGTTTTAACTCACTTGTCTCAGACAAAGCGACATGAAATTTCAAATCTAGTCTTTGAAGTTGCAAAAACACTTAGTAAACTTATGATGCATTCTTGTATATCCATAGTACAAGTCACAGCAAATGTGTTTGGGAAGTTTTTTGTAGTTGTGGTTTTTAACTCAACTTGCTTGGTGCAAGTTTAAATACTGCGTATGTCACTATCCTATGAGTTGAAAAGTATAATCTGCTTAGATGGGTCTCAGTGAGTGAGTGAGTGAGTATGGTTTTACGCCGCTTTTAGCAATATTCCAGCAATATCACGGCGGGGGACACCAGAAATGGGCTTCACACATTGTACCCATGTCGGGATTCGAACCCGGGTCTTCGGCGTGACGAGCGAACGCTTTAACCACTAGGCTACCCGACCGCCCCAGATGGGTCTCAGAAAACTGGTACAGGTAAATAGATTGTTTGATTGATCTTTGTTTATTCTTCGTATACTTGTTGTAGTCTAGTAGAAGCATTTTGTCCGATGAGATAATAGTTGCACCATTGTGGTATTAATCTCACACATCTTTGTCACTTTTTGCTCTCCTCTTACATCACTGCAGGGGTGGTCGGGTAGCTTAGTGGTTGAAGCATTCTCTCGTCACGCTAAAGACGTCAGTTTGATTCCCTATATGGGTACTAAAGGTGTAACGATACGGGAGGGTCATATCGCGATACAGGGGTCACGATACGATACGTATCACGATACAGTTTTTACTGGTACAAGCTAAGCCAAGTTGATGTCTTTCTGCTCTCTAAAAGATGTGACAAGTACAGTTGAAGAAGATAAAAGGTTTTTATTTACTGTTATAGCAAATTGTCAGCAATACAGTATGTTTGACTGAAACAACAAACTGGCTTTGAAATTGTAAAACGTATTTCATGTTTAAAAGTACCGTATTTTCTTGAGTATAGTGCAAACCCATGTATAATGCGCACCCCCTCTAGCGGGTTCAATATTTTGGAAAAAAAAAAAAATTGAATATTAAGCGCAGAAAAAAATTACACCGTACCCCTTCAGCGAGGTCCGGCAAACGAACGGGTGATGAGAAACTTTGTCAGTACAAATTCGAAATTTGAGATAAAAAATCACCAGACATGTTGATTTACCGTTTAAATTGTATTTTTTGTTCAGCTAGGCATTGTTTTATATCCAGGGATTAACATTACCTTGTGTATTTTCTCGTAAAATAAGCCGGACACAGCAATCAGCTGTACACACGTTTTCTTGGAATCTACCGGTGATTCGGTCAAGACACACCCAATGATATGACTTTAAAGGATTTTAATGCAAGGATCGGCAAAAGTTGTATCTGAAACTATTTTTTTATCAGGAATAATATATTCCAATACCTTGTTAATTTAGATGCAGCTTTTACTATACATATTTAAAATAATAATAACCCTAAGCGAAGCAGCTGATCGCTATTGCCGGGTATTATTTTTTACATGGAACCAGTCTGACCAGTCACCGTCAAGGCTCCCGTGCACGTGATCGCGAGAATTACGTGTTGACATAGAATCGTCCAACAAAAACAAATATGACTTTTAACGAATCAAAGTATGGCATTTATGATATATGTATCCATTCTCTGTCAACTAAAGTTTGTTTCAAGGCGTCAATAGCGGTAATCTGACCGTGGTTGCTGTTAATAACAGTGAGTTGTGCGATCTTCCGATCGCTTCACACACGATTTCGCCAAAATTAATAAAAACAACATTAAAATTAATTTTGAATAAAATTAATGAAATAAGTTACAAACATAAGTCCAGATATACAAAGAACACTTTTTATAGCCAGACAGTGTAATTGCATGATTAATTTGCGAACTTCAGTATGGACTTGTTGACATGGTATTTCCGGTGTTACGTGCACGGTAATGTCTTTCCATGGGGGAAAAACATCAAAACTCATTAAGTAAAACTGTGTTATGAAAATACTGTATGTACCGCGATACATGCTTTCCAAATCGATGCATCGTATCGTGGGCTGTGCATCGGGATACAATACTGTATCGCCGAATAGTTACACCACTTGTGGGTACAATGTGTGAAACCCATTTCTGGTGTCCACCACCGTGATATTGCTGGAATATTGCTAAAAGCCTCGTAAAACCATACTCACTCACAACATCACTGCAGAACTTCTGAATGTCTTATGGATTGAACTTAGCTCACCTCAAATATAGTGACCAGTTTACCCACTACGTTGAGCTAGAGGCAGTAAAAGTAAAATACAGCATGTACAACTCATTGAGTCAGTATACAGGTTATTTGCTTCAATGGAACACCAGGATTACAATATAGCACTGGAGCCTGCAAGCAGACAATATGTATTGATGCTTTGGAAGAAGCTGCAAGA